TACTGCAACAGCGGGAGAGTCACCGCAACTTTCATATGGATGATGTGTTGATTTTGCACAAACTTTATATCATGTACTTTATATGAGGTGAAGTGGCGTCCAGTCGATATGCAATGCACATCCCCCTTGGTGATGCAAATTGAAAAATGACTCATTTTGTTTATGAACGTGATAACATTTGCATGACGATCGCAAGAAATTGACATCGCTTGCAGCAAAAAAATTGATATCTTGTTTACGTGAGCAGCCGCCCCGTGGGATCGGTGGCCACCTTCGGCCACGTTTCCGCACGACCGCGAACATAAGGCTTCAAACTTTTTCTCTCGGGCAATCGATCGGCTATTTCCGTTCCTAAGTCATTTTTGCGTTCGAATCACTTTTCGCTCTTCAGTTTGAAAATGCGAAATTTATTCAAATTCGCCTCCTAAGCATCCCTAATTATCTTTTCCGCTTTTCTGTTACGTTGAGAAAAATTCAACTGAGAATCCGAAATTTCTCACTTTTTTCTCATTTTTTCAGCTTTTTTCCGATGTGGCGGAGCACGTACCGTGTCGATCGTAGTTCCATCAAAAAGGTCAATTTCGCACCTTCCCAACGACACACGGTCGTTCGCTGACGACAATTATTTTTACGTCTCAAAAGTTACACATTCCGAAAATTCACATTTTCCTCGATCGGCTGAATATATTTTCGCGACATGCCGTCGGAAAGAGAGCTCCGTGCAACGTTGCGAGTAAACCGCAGTCACACGCAAACGAATTCGACTTTCCGAGAATCCAAGCAAAACGTCGCTAATTGAATCGCGATGATTGGTTAAGGAATACTCGGAATCTCTCCATTATCCAACGAAAATCAGCATGCCCACAGACTCGGCCGAAGCGAGAAGAAACATCTCGGAGCTCTGAAAAAACCTTTCCAACGACACATCACCCAACTACACTATATATATTGAGCCACTCCAAGAATGGGTCAATTTTTGGAAGATGCAAATTTGGAAAAATAAAACGAAAAACACAATCGAAAAAGACACCATAGATGCCCCGCCACATCGAAAAAAAATTGAGATTCCCAGGAGAAAATTTTCTCCATGCAGCGGACCGATGCGATGGACCGATGTAGCGGACCGATGCAACGGACCGATGTAGTGGGCCGACGCAGCGGAAGTGAAAGAGACGACTCGCATCATCGACGCACCTCGAAATGGAGCGGAACTTACCGCGACGAGAGAGAGATTCGTCTTTTCCCCCGCCATTTAGGGATATTTGGGAGGGCAAAATCGCCTAAATATTCATTTATGAAGCCGAAGAACCATGCCGGCGATTCATCGGAGAACAAAAAGGACATAGGAGCGAAATCGTGGACCCATCGAAGAGCTCCGACCGAAGCACGCCGCCGAGTGACGAACTCTTCCTGGGACAAAAATCCAGCCGTCCACTGGGTCGATCCGTTTTATTGGATATTTTTTGTCTCGGCGATGCCTCGCCGATCCGATGGAGGTCCTTCTTCTTTTACGGTCTTCTTCGATAGACCGCCATCACTCACAATTTTCTTCATCGGAGACGGCCAGGCGCCACCATGGGTTCTTCCCCGTGCCTCGTGGCTTCTTCCCCATGCCTCGTGGCTTCTTCCCTAAGCCTCGTCGAGCACAAGTGCATGAATCAATCGATGAAGGAGCGGCTGAGAGCGAAAACTGTTTTCACTTGGCGGAGAAATTCGTTCTTGAACGAAACTATTTCAAGAAAATGTGGGGTGAGATTAAAAATCACCACGTGCCGCATTCAAGATAACTGAAATTATAAAATTTGAGAATGGAAATTCCGGAACACTTTCGATACCTTGCGCAGGTTGTGTCCTTTTCCTCATTTTCAGAACCTATCCCTCCCCCTACAGTACATATTTTAAAAAATTACGAAAGCATGTTTCGTATTAATATTATATTTTGATAATAATATCGCTCTCTGTTCGCCCGGGAACTCCTCGGGCAGATCAGATTCGATCGATCGATATCGACGGAAAGCTTGAAGTCTCGTTTCCCCACGTCCCGCCTCAAACTCGACCGATTCGCCGTCGCTAAGGGCGGTTACGTGGGTGGGAAGTGGAGTCCAGGCTTTTCGTCTTAAGGCATTCTCGTGAATGCGCGTGGGAGGAGGAGGGGGGAGGGGGGGAGGGGAAGGGTTGGGGGGGGGGGGGAAGGGTTGAGGAATCCGGTGGAGCAGGCCGAGAAGGGACGCCGCGGTAACCAAGGAGACATGGAGTCTCCCAGGGTCGTAAATCGTACCTCATCGATTCGCGAGTACAAATGCGCGTTGTAACACGTGATTGGGAGCGAGTGGGAACGGGGTTCCCACAAGTTTCTCAAGATGGAATGAGTACACAACTCTCTTACTTCATGCCATAATTTAAAAAGTCAAATTTCATTTGCCTTATTTTTAACAACATAGTTGTTAATTTCCAAGAACGAATCCTCGAAAAAGAAACTCACTGATTTTAAAAGTTTATTTACAAGAGTATCTAGTAGAATATCCTTCATTTCAAGAATGCGCATTCCTGGAAGGTTCCTCCAAGTGGAATCGGAAACGATCGAGTGACGATGCACGAAACTCAACTAGTTGAGTTCATTTTGCACGGCAGCTCCACGGCATGAATTTTGCAAATACGTTCGTCGATATCGTTCGGAATGCCATCCACTCCGAGTCGATGGGGTCTCTGGCCGTAGCATCCTGGAGCAACGGACTCGGCCCCGACGAGTGGAATCCCTTGGACGACGCGAGAAGGCACGGAAGCATCGCGAGGGAGTCCGTCCACCTCGAGCGCGATCGACCGACTGGACTCGAGGTCGTTCTCGATCGAGAGACTTCGGGAGGATGCGGGAGACGCTTTCGCCCTTCGAAGGCGACTGCGAGACTTGGTGGTTCTCCCAGGCGTCATCGAGGCTCGTCGCATCGGAGACCTCCAGCTTTCGGTGACGGTCGAATGTCCCTGGCCGTGGGTGAGGGCGGGGAGGTGACCGAGGGAGGTAAGCGCTCGAGAAAGCCCCGAGTTTCCATTCGGGTTTGGGTCGAATTCGCGGAGACCTAAGAAATCCCTCGAGATGAGGCCGTCGCTCGAGAACGAGACCCTTAGGTATCTGAATTCCTCCAAATTTCTCAGTGCGGCCCCATGACATGCTTTTATCTCCCCTGAATGAGGCTCCAGCATTCGGGTCTTGGAGCCTCCACGTCATGGATCACACTCCACCAAAAATCAAACTCGTAACAAGTTATGATTTTATTTATTCCCTGTCTAAAATTCATTTTCAGCGTGAAAGCCTCGAAGCTTTCTTACCCCATTCAAACTTTGAGAATGTGAGCTAAAAATTTGAGATCTTAACACATCTGTACTTCTGAAGGAATTGGCAACACGTAAATGACCAATTATTAAATTCCTTTAATAGCAGCCTTCTGCAACAGTAACGAAGTGAAAATTTCCGGAAAGCATTCGCATTTGTCACGCATGAGCTCAGTTATGGAGTGATGGAAGGTTGAAACATTCGCTCCAAAATTACCTGATAGAAGTGATAATGAAACTGGACTTTCCGCCTCAAGATTTTTCCATAAATGGAAGCATGAGCGGAGATGAACATTCGCAATCATTCACTCAAAAGATGTTCAAATGTTCATCATAGTTACAATTGACAATTGGCTCACTCAAAATAATAAAATTTTGCCAACCAACACAACCGAGAGGCCTGTTTGATCGTGCTGGTTTTGGATTATTGCTTTGACGAAATTTAGGCTTGCCCGCCATGACAAAGATTTGTCAAGATCATTGCTACAAATTTTCCAAGTTCATTTTCAATTTTCACTTAAGGGGATGATTCACAATATTTCCCAATAAATTGTGAATATTGATGTCTGCCATGAGCAGTATATATTATATACAGGTATAACAGGTATGTTATGAAACGTAGCAAACGGACAACAAAATCCATCCCATGCCCACTCACATGTTGGCACATGTGAACATAACATCTCAAGGAGGGAGGCAAAATTGGTGCTTGTCTGTTAGTTGCTGTCCCAAACTCCAGAAACTTTAAGGGGTTTAACGTTTCCATGGACGTTTCCAGTGTTTGGGGCATTCCCATGGAGACTGGAGATGGATTACATGAAAGAAGTGACTGATCTCATGAGAATCGGTAAGTCTGGCAGCACAAGGCATCACAAGGCCTTTGTTATTGTTGAATCATCTTGTCAATGCTTATTGGCTAGAAAACTGTGCCTATGACACGTTTGAAGAAGTGCCACTTACGAACATGGATTTTGGTGATGGGGAGGGGATTGGAAGGAAAGAAGGAAAAGGGAACAAAGGGTCAAGGCTACTCACAAATGACTTGATCAAGCCCCAAGATAACCAGAGATGCCAACAGCACATTATGAAAGCCAAGGCAACATGTGACATCAGCAGGAATGGATATGATGGAGAAAACACCTTGCCTGTATTTTCAGATTTTCTATCCTCAAGACTATTCTTTTTTTTTTGTTCATCATTAACCAAGGCCACACATTTATGACTGCATCCTCACAATTTCTTCCATTGGCAACAGGAGACAGTTACTCTAACTCCTTGTCATGCCCCCTCATATCCTTTGATTTCATGAAAGACATGGAAATTCTTGTTAGTCTCAATAGGACAAAACAAGACCAAGGAAGCATCCCATGACACCTATTGTTGCTTGAGAGCTCAGCTTTTATTTGGAACTATCTACAGCCTTGGAGTAGAAAATACAGGGTGTCTCAAAAAGATTTATAAACTGATTGAACACATGAGCCGAGTCTTAGCAGTAAAACAAATAAAGGCAATTACTGTTCACATTTAAATCATGTGTACATCTCTCTGAGAGACTCTGCTCTATGAAGAATACCATGAAACCTTGACTTCATAACTAAAATGGAGAACAAGAAAATTCAAATACTGATCTTAATTTTTTCTTTGTGATCAGTGGTGCAGGTGGTTCCAGTGGCAGAGTGTCAAAGAATTCCTGTGCCTGTGTGCTTCAAAGACCAACAGAGAAGAGGAGGAAATCCTCTACAAACTGTAATGAAGAAGAATTTGAAATTAATACCTCCAACTTTCATTCCTCTCAAGGTAGAATAATAAAAACTTCAGCCACACACACACTCCCTGGCAAGTTCATAATCCATACAGACTAGTCACGATAAGAGGGGAGGTGAACACATGGTTCACTGGAATGAAGATTCATGAGGGTCCTTCCAGAGCACTCTTCGTCAAAGGCATCGGAGGGGGACACAGTCCGAAGAGACTCTGGCCACGATGATTGAAGCAGTAGAAGTTTGGTCTGTTATCCAACGTCTCCCAAGTCCTGGTGAGAAAAGAATGGAAAATTCACAAAACAATGATAGAAATTGGGGGAAAAGTCACACATGCATGAATGTAACTTTCCAATTCATTGCACTAGATGGTCTGGACATAACCAACTTTTCTTGTTTAATCCTATGGGCAGGTGTAAATGTACACTCACCAGTCCATTCATAATGAAGGTTGGAAAAAAAGATAGTCAAGCAAGAGAAGAATTTTGCTCTTGATGAAGGATCTTGTGGCTTTTCCAACTGATCCAAGGAGTGCAAAAGCCTTTTGAACACCAGGGAATGTCAGAGTGAGGCTTGAAACTGTTTAGGTCAGCAACTAATGCAATACTAACTAAGGTCTTATGCTTGCAATGATGATTAGCATCACCCTTAAATTACCAGTATGTCAGTTGAGGCCTATGAAAACAATTACATCTCACTTTTCCTTTCATGCACTCTTTCTGAAAACCATGGCTTGCAGCCTGACTGACCCTCACAGACGTACCAGTCAAGGGGGAAGGGAAGCGACAGTGATCATATGAAATATGGATGAATGCATGTCTTAAGCTAAGGGTGTGCAACCTTTATAGGCAGTGGGCCACATGAAAAAGTCTAACTCTGCACACAAGTCATTGAATGCAAACGAACAGGGAACCCTCAGGGTATGCAGTAGAGAGAGTGACTGTGTCACACTGATTAAATGATAACCCACACCCCTCTTCCACTCCATGGAAATACCAATGTCCAAAAATAACCTTAACAATGAAAAAATCCTTCCTTGGGACATTTGCAAGACCGCTGGCATAAAAAATAATTTGGGAGAAGAAATGAAAGGACTCATAATCTTGTTCTATGTAATTACTAAGGGATATCCAATGGTGTGATGGTAGATGAGCAACAAAGGAAATGCAAAGGAACTTATTTCATGTTATGCCATTCAGCATTACCAGACAACTGGAATTTGGTTCATGAGCCACATGCAACTTGCAGGCCACATGTTGCAAACCTCTGCTTTAAGCTCTTCAGGTTTTCCAGATACAAATGAATGGGAGAAATAAATGACCATAAGCTCCATATTTGGGGTGCAAATAAATGATCAGAAGGCTTGCAGCATCACCCAAATGGGAAAAATTCAAATAAGAGATATCAAAAAGTTTATTCATTACCAGAGGAACAGTGGAAAGGGCTGCTGAGATAAAAATGCAACAACTCACTTGGACTTAAGCTCTTCTGTTGCACGTATCTCCCGAAGGTCTCCACTGATGCACACAACCCCATACATGGTCACCAACAGACTTATTAAAGCCTGAATGATCACCTACAGATATAATATCATATATAGAAATGAAATACAATGGTTTCTTCCTGTAATCATAATATACATTCCCATGAATCTACTCCCTCAAATAATAATCTACTAAACATGAAGACATTTTGCATAATTCATCACTATATCACAAAACTGATAAATTCTGACACAAAATTTCAGTCTTCATTCAAGCTTAGTCAAGGGGGCCAATTTATAATTTACAATTCACTATGCAATTTGTAGGCTATCACTATCCATGAGAGAAAATTTTCTATATTGTATATCTTGACTATTTGAATTGAGTCAGCAATAGATAAATCTTCATTCTTCAAAAGTTTGCCATTCCTGAAATTTCAAATATACAATATAATTTATGACAAAATTTTGAAAAAATTTTGTCAGACCAGAGATCATTGATACAAATAGTCAGTGGTTCTCAATTGGTGAGTTGTGAGAGAGAGATTAAATGAATTACAAATATACTAAGAGAAATTCATCATAAGCACTAAACAGAGCTACAAGATAATATCACAAAAATTTAACTTTCCAAGAAAGAACTAATCTATTAATCCAAATAATAAGGTGGCACAGGGAGAAGGCTAGCTGGTAAACAATTTCAAGAAATGACAAACAGCTTTAAAATGTCTTTTTAATCATTCTTGCCCTTAACCTTCACATCAACTCCTTCTCAGTTACAGCATTTTCTCTCACTCCTCAGTGCTACGGTTAGGGGTGATGCTGTTTTTTTTTGGTGGGGAGAAGCCTTAGTTTATTTTATTCATTTTGTTTCTGTTACCTGAACAAATATATTTTCTTATCTCCTTTTTGGGAGAGGGAGGTTTATGAAGTTCACTTCAACCATAATTTCCTGTAGGTTTAACATTCAAATGTAGATTGATCATTACCCAATAAAACCAGGTGTAAGCACTGGTACTGATGGTAGTGCCCCTGGTGAAATCATTGGGACACAAGTGAATTTTCCTCCAGCTAAATATTCCAAACTAGTACCAATCCAGAAGTATGATGATTTATACCTTCAGGTGCTTCCACAGTGAGAAAGTATAAAACCAGAATGTATAGTTTGAACTACTGGCCATTGCATCCATGTAACCTTCAAAAGTGCAGCAGCATTTAGATCATATACACCCAGCATTGAATGATAAACCAGTCGAGTTCCTTTGGAGGAAGCTCAAAGAGTTAAAGAAACAGTAAGGTACAATGAGGGAATAACCTTTGCCCAGGGCAATATACTGAAAGCATCATTTCCATAAGTACAAAATAAAAAAATTTTTCAGTTGAGAGCATTACTTCTGAAAGTTTCTGAATTTTTTAGCCATGTAAATATGGCAAGAGGGCTTGATGAGTCACAACATATAAAAAAAGGTTGAGAACCACTGGTGTAACTGTTCTACTCAAGTTCTCAATATTTAGTGTAGGGTTTAGAGTAAAAGTAATTAAATTATCATTCCCATCAACAAAACTAGCAAACATTTGCAACCATTTCTTTTTATATATCTACTGTGGGTGAACAATTAATCTTACTTGAGAGGCAGCCTAAAACAGAAAATGACTCAAGCACCATTGAAATATATTAATGTATGAAGCAAAGAGATATATTGCACAAACTTCAAAGAAGGTATAAAAAATAAAAGGCATGATAAGTTTCTACCAACTGATCATATAGATAGATCAGCACAGAAATCCAAAATAGGAGGGAGCACAACTTTCCCATAAAAAAAGATACTAGAAAAGCACCAGAAAAAATACCTACATCCAAAGGAAGGGCTACATCTTCACTGGTCAGCCGGACAAATGTTCGATCTGCAAAGATGCAAAGGCAATTTAAATGCAACAGATATAAGACATTATTCTATATTATATTATTTAGACCTGAATAGAACAGACATTTGCCTTCCTGACTATTTGAAAATGATATAGATCTAGGGGGCAATTCCAGGGGAAATATTACAAGAATGAGGACAATCTTAAAACTTGAATGAAATGACCTAACTCCCTCTTCAGGAATCATATCTACCATGATTCTTGTAAGACCTGGCCCCAAGTTGGATATATTCATATAGGCTGTACCTAACAGAGACACCTAATTTACACTGCCAGGCCTGCCCATCCCAGTGTCACCATCTTTTTTAGCTACAAACGTGGCTACCAGTGAGACTCCTGTACTCAACATATATCGCAACTATTCCATGGCAATCCCAATTATTTATTCTTCTTCATCCCATGCAGCTCTTCCAGCATTTCACAAGTTACTCTTAAGCTTCATATTTTGAGATCCAAAAGGGGTAGCCACATTATCTCACACCCACCTGTGTGACTTCATCCAAGACCATCCCCATCCACCTTCATACTCCAGATTAATTCAGTACACAAAAAGTATTTTAGGGAGTAATCTCGCAACAGGCCTAGGCCCAAATTGCAACAGTGCAAAAACCTAACGATAGTCTTAGGCCTACGTTGTGCCAATAACATAGATGAATCTTTTTGACTATAGCTCTCTCACTTTTCACAACCATACGCAATGCCAGAACCACTTCTAATACAGACATCTGTGATACCCAGGGAGGACACAAAAAAACCTGAATCGCAACAATGAGATGAGGCCCGCAAAGTCATAGTCAGGAAAGTCACCTGAGACTAGACCTATGTCGTTTCATAACTGCAAAATACTTGAAATACCATAGGCATTCAATAAAACGGAATTGCAGCGAAGGACACTCACGTTGAGCTGCAGAATAAGCGGAATGCAAGAGGGAAACAAGGCCAGCGACAACGAGCACCCGGTCCATGCGATCCTTGATTTGGTGAGCAGACATATTGCTAAGCAGCCTCGCAGGGTTGCCAGATGTCATGTCTCTGTTCCACCTCCCCGATCTCGAAAAATCCTTCGAGCCGGTGGAGAATCGGTTCCATTCCGTTTATTTCCTCTTCACAAATGCCTTCTAAACTTCTCTCATGAGGATTGCTTGCTAAAATAAGCGTTTGGTGATAACTTGTTTTGTTTCTTGTCATGGATATCTTCCCAAATCGTTCTGGAGACTTCTGCATCAGTGGATGAACGTCAAACCGGAGGTGCGATGCGGAGTGAAAGGTTTCCAGGTTTCAATAGTGTTTCGGGACGCCAAGCATCTTATAGAAATAGACCTGGTCTCTTTCACCTCTAATTAACCTCATCAGCATTTATTTGAGGCTGTTTGAAAGTTATATTGTATGCATTTCCATGCACACGGTCCCACTTTCACAGTAAATCTTTAATTTTTTCGGAAATGCTTTCAACATGTTTTTTCTCACCTTACGGTAGTTCCTTTAGAATTTCATAATTTTCTTTACGCATCGTTGTGAAATGCCTAGAAAAAACCTGGTTTTGTACTTCCTCTCATCCCCTTCCTTGTCCTTTGAATTCGCAAAAAATTTTGCTCTGACCAAATTGCAAGTGGGTATTTATTACTTCATGTCCATGCTGACATTAACGTCTTCACAGCGAGAATTTATTTTCCATCGTCGTCATCGACGATGGAAAAGAGGATATTCTTGTACAGAGTCGTGAATTTAGGGCAATTTTTGATCAGTACATGAAAATTCGTATGGGGAAGAGTAAATACACGATTAGAACCCAATTAATCAGTTAAATGGCCTGCAATTACTAGGCTGCATTTCTTAAGCTTCCATTGACCTGTCTTCATATTTTAAATTTCATTTTGGATATGAATGAATTCTCTCGGGAATCGATGCCATCACGACCCATTTATTGCACGACGAAAGAAAATAGAAAAAACACCCCTTGGAAATGAAAAAAAAAAACCGTGATCGATTCCCTCAACATGCGAGAGCCGACTGAAAGGCTCGAAGGACACATGCCGTCATTTTGACTGCGTCTGTGAATGAACCGAGGTGGTGTCCCATCCGCGAAGAGTCCCCGAAACGAAGTGCATGAAAACAGTGTCCCCCCCCCCGAAATCCCTCAGAAAGAAGCGGCTGCATCCCTCCAGTCCCTCCACTCTGTCCTCCGCTCTTTCCTGTTCTTAAAAGGGAGGGGTTAATAACCTCAACCGCCCACTGTGTTGGTCGTAGCTTCGGTCGTTGTCGTGGCTACGTCATCTGGAAAGCAAAGCCCGGGGTAACGACTGTTTGTCTTGCAATCGACTTTTCCTGCCCCGGGTCCTACTTTGATGTAGATCGGCACTCCGATGTTAATCCACCTTGGGGGGAAAAAAATCCGATTAGTAGACCGAAAATCTCCCGTCCCGAAGAGAATGATGAACTCGTGCGTACGTGGGTGTCAAGAGGCAGCGGTAGGAGACGAATCCCCTGCACTTCGTGGCTCCACAGCCAATCTGTTTTCACAAAAAATACCTATTTTTAAAGATTTTTTTGTAGCGTTATTCGCGAACCATGCTTCTCTGCCTATGTCGACTGTTCGTGAGTACTTATCGCGGAAAATGTCCAGAAAATCACGCATGGACAATTTCGGTTTCAAGAGATTTAAATTGGGTCTTTAAACTTTTTTGGGACGAACGCAACAGGATATTCCCGTATTCCTAGAGGCGAAAAAATTATGGCCTTGTCTAGACCTCATCTAGACTCTGTCTAGACTCGTAAGACTTACCTTTTCCGTATCCGACCCGATCAGCTGACCGTAGCGGAGCCACTTGTCGACATTGCCCGTCACGTTTATGCTGCGAGAAGGAACCCCGAAATCAGTCACCTCGCAGCGAAAATTCTGACTCTCGATTCGTTCGTCTCACTCACATGTTCTCTTGTTTCATTTCTTTGATTTCCGCATACCAAGCGGCCAATGGATCGCGCCAGTTGATGTTGCAACCTTTCCCGGGACTGCATATGGTCTGGTATCCCAACTCTGCCAGGGCGCCTGCATGCGAACAACGCTTCATTGCTTAAATACAATAATTTAAATATATATTTCAATTTATAATTATTCATAATTTAAGGGCTCACCGCAATTGGTGCAGAGGGCAACAGTACACTCATCTGCACGTTTCTGCGCCTTCCTCTCAATTTCAGTGTTATTCATCTGGAAATAGCATCAACGGTCAGCTCACGAATGAAACGAGAATTTTTTTGGCAGAGACTCATTAAAAATCAGGTCATTCTTAAAAAAAAAAAATTTCACCTCGAGTGGCTTCTATTTTTCTCAGCCGACTTTGAATGGGTACTAGACACTAGCCCAACATTATAATGCAACAGATTTTGCACAAATTACAATTAGCTGGAAAGACATACATCACTTAAGAACTCAGTGAAAACTATTTTTGATGAGCGTCGACTTGTTCGTCTTTTACAGGATGTCTTTCCTTCCCCTACCAGTAAAACTGGAACTTGCTCCGCGATTGGGTTCCATTCGAATGACGCCCTGTTATACCTTCCCTTCCTTCTCGAGGATACAAGAGGCGACGAGAGACGTCATCGGTGACTTAATTAGTGATGTCATCTTCAATGTGACTCTCCCTTCCTCACCGCTGTCCAACCGAGGTGCGGGAAAGTGTCTATCCATCTTACGAATGACGCCACTGCTTTTTACTTATCGTGACCAGGCGCGTTTCCATGGCGATGTTAACGCGCTGAAATATCGATACAGTTCAAGGACTAACGTCAAGGCTCGTGTTGCATCCGTGGTGCACTTGCATTAAATGCTTAAGTAACCAGACTTCGTTGATTTTCCGAGTCGGGAAAGACGAGACTATGGAATTTCGAGCTCTAAATCGAAAAACAAGCGTAGGGAAAACTACCATCAGTCAACCCTCTCTTGATCGAACTCTGCTCTCGTTGTTCACATTGCCTAATTACAGAGAAGCGTTCTCTGTAATCGGGTTATATGGGCAACGAGAGCGGAGTACGATCAAGAGAGGGTTGACAGTATTTTAGGTCAAGCAGTACACTAAATTTTGGGCAATTACTTAAAGCTCCAAGATGGACAACGATAGTTGAACCTGACAGATGTCGCAAGATTGGACTAGTCGTGAGAAAACTCCTTGAAGCATGCACAACGAAATTCTGCTGAATTTGGAACTTGCCAGTTGGATCATGTAAGTAGGAGTCGGCAGGGGATTCTTGGCAGTACAATCATTACATCCTGTCTCTTTGTCTGTGGCCACCTTCTGTCGGTACTTGTTGATCTCATCGTAAGGGTCCACTACCTCGCGAGATACGAACGCCATCATTCATTCGGCTCATGTCAAGACCGAGTGGAAGCAGATCGAAAGGGACAACCTGGAAGCTCGCAGTGGACTTCCTCGAAGGAGGTGGAGGTGCACCAAGAGTCAGGATCCTTCGCGGCACACGTGGCGGTGTGCTCCAGAGAGCCATCCGTGAATCCTTGATTGTTCTCCTTGCAAGTGAAGGCGACCGTCGCTCCGTTGGGTGCCGGGTATTTCCCATCCCAGCCTTTGTCGTACGTCACATTTGCTCCCTTGATCTCTGGGTGCTTCGAGAGACATATGTCTGCAATCGAAAAGGATTTCATCGGTTACCATAGTTTTCCATTTCCGTCTTCGCAACAACCCTTTCAGTCACGACCTCTTTAAAACACTGTTTTTACTTTGCTTGCATAAAGGCATTCACAAGTAACAAAGGAATTCCCCATACCTGCCGCGCAGGAACCGCTATTAGACACTATCTTCATCGTCATGGTTACTTTTGCATGTTGAATACCATGGTATGGACCAGTAATGCATGGAGCACCTAAGGAATGACTCTGTAGGCGATGCACATTACTTCAAAAAGGAATCTTCGCAATAATTTTTGCACCGTAACTGAAAGGGTTAGCGAGAAACAGACTGATGAAGGCGGAGACTCTGTGTGTAGGCCTCGTATCCTTCGCCGTCCACCAAGTCACTCGTGGCGGCCCTGACCAGCTGGCAGGATCCGTCCGATTTCCGGAAGTTGAAGGCGTTGCAGATTGGCTCTTGGCGGACGCATTCGATGTTGCACATTCCGAGACTCTTTTCCACGGAGGTCTTGCTCACGTTCTTGAATCTCTTGCCAGGGTGGACGTCGATGTAAGGGGTTAGGTCGACCGAGACCGCCGTTTGAACCAAGAAGCAGTAAAAAACGAAGGCGGCCTTCGAGGAAGCCATCGTCGCAGCTCCCAATCGGCCAGCAACGACGACTGAAATGAGCAACCGCGTCGATACGAGTAACAGGGCCCGTTTCCATGCGAACGCATTTGTTTCTCCCGTTAAAATTCACATAAAATACATTTTCACGTCCTAAAAGTGTTCGATCGAGGGAGCATATGCCCAATGGCCTAATGCGTCCATCTGGGAGAGTGTGCCCTATGCAAACGCCAACCATTGCCAGGCGATTAATGACGCCTGACTAGGCTGCGTTCGATCCAGGTCGGACAAGGAGCGACGAAACGAAAAAGTATTTAAATGCATGTACAAAAACTGCAGGGTCTAAAGTCTGTCCCTGCGGATGTTTTCTTCCTCGCGACGAATCCTCGAGCTTGCCAAAAAGGCCGGAAGTGACTCGGAGCGAGATCTCACGAATGGGAGCGAGGGGGTTCCGATTAGACTAATTATTTCAGCCAAGCGCTTCGACCAAGAACTCTTGCCACGGGGAACCGCGATGTTGCGTGGTCCCAGTGCAACACGAAATTCCCATTTCCAGCTAGAAACGGAGTTTATGCCGGTCGCATCGGCATGCCCTTGAGTTAGAAGCAATCCTCGTCGTTCCATTACTCCATGTTTCATAAATTATGTAAGTACACATCGATCGATTACATGACGAAATAGGAAATTTCGGAATCACCCCTTTTGCTCGACATGAAAGTCCGACTCGAGGTCGTGAAAGCAGTTGGAGCGATGGGATTCTTCTCCGAGTCCGTCGACATGACGAAGAGAGTCGGACCCGAGTCTACCATGGAAATAAGAATTAGTTCAAATATAATACTCGTAAAAGCAAAATCTCGAGAGTTCATTCCGAGTCCACATACCATTGCTTCCATTTCCATCCTAACACAAGATGAGACTGAAAGCGATGAACTCGAGGTAAGGGCAGGAAGACGGAACCTCATTCAGACATCAATCCATTACTTGCACGATTTAAAGGGCAAGGCATTGCTCCACACATTATTGCAGATGACTCTTATACGATAGATGATGTCACTCATGAGTACCTCATTATTGCGATTCAGTTTTCAAAACCTTTACAGAGGACTTCACTGATTCATATTCATTCTATAATATTTGTTTTTATCGTCTTTATTTTTATTTTCTGCCTTTATATGGTACACCGTCTACGTCGGGGTGCCAGTCGACGACTAAAAACTTCCACTTCCTTTCGAGCCCTCGAAGATGACGGATCCATAATGGAGAATAGGAGAGAGTGGCTGATGGTGACTGTGCAGACAGGGTTGCCGGGAACAGGCGTGAAATGCCGCATCTGGCATCCAACACGATTCTCTCTTCCCGTCTCCTCGCAACCCGGGCGCACAAACCATCAAGAACATCGTTCATTTTTCAGGGACTTTTCATATAGGCCCATGGCGTACCAACGACAGGTATCATTAATTTCAACTAGCCGACCCGTGGAAGACTTCCACGAATTTCGGGTCGGCCTTCGCCATGGGTGTCAAAATGCCAGTCCGCTAGTTAATTTTGTTCGGCCCGCTAAGTCCTCTTCAACGTTGGTTTTGAAAAAGCGTAAACTTTTTCAACCTGTTAGCTATTGAAACGTAAGATTTACTAATCTGGACGCAACCACTCTCGAAGAGTTCCATCCGGCCTCCAGTTTAATCAAGTTAGACATTTCTGGCCTAGGCTTAGCGTGTGACATTGTCGGGAATTCACGAGTTCAGTGTCAGCTGCCCTTTCAACGCTCTACGCAGCAGCCGCTCGGACATTATACGTCTTGCCTAGCTCCCCCCCTCCCCTTTCCCCTTTCCCCAATGGGGTAATTACGCCGACGAAACGGACTTTTAAAAAGAGTGGCACTCGTATCCAGTATCGATCGCGACCCTGTGCGTATCGTCCGTAAAGTCCATCTCCACCACATTTCATATAGGCCTATGAGTGAAAAATACGGATAGAGAAACGGAATGGTTACGACGCGGACGACGTCGTCTTTCCGATCAATGGGTAAGTGCTCCTGTTTCATACAGGCGGGATCCCGCCATTTTCGCCCTCGGGAGTCACTCGCCCTGTGAGTGCCGATCTATTATGAGGACGGGGTTCCGATCGATAAAGGGGTCGGGACCCCGATAAATATATGAGCGGAGAACTTATTTCGGCGAGGTAGTCATCATTCCTCGAGGGATAAAAGGGGATTCCGAGTGTAACAAGTGAAAAGTCCGTATCGGACCACCCCTAAGCAGGGAGCGGGTGGTGTGCGTAGAATGCCTCTCTTTCCCGTTGTAGTGTTATTCATGACTTCGTAGAGGAACGACTGGACGGCGAGGGATCGGTGGGGTAGTTAGTAGAACACTTGGCCTGGCAATCAGGAGGATTCCGGGTTCGATTCCCTCTCTGTCGTTTTCTTTCTTCCTCCTAATTCCATCCGAACATCTAACACCCCCCCCCCCCCGGGCCATTAACGTTCTGGAGAATAGATCCCACAAGAGCCAACGATAAAAAAGATCGTGCTCGCCTAGAAAGAGGAAAACGTACACCTGGAGGAAGAGCGTTCGATAACATGCGGACAGAGACTCAATCATACAGTAAAAGAAGTTACTTTTGGTTCCCGATTACTGGCCGGGACTCGGGACTCCATGGATTGTTGGTTAAATGGAGTCCCATTTCTACATCTACCTATTGGTATACAGTTGGATAGTTGTCCATGAGTATAATTGTGAAATTCCAAATATATTTGGAACTAGCGCCTTCGGCGCTTTGCGACCTAAGGAAATTACTAATGTATTGGGTTGGAAAGGTCTTGCAACACTCTGCGCAAATTTTTCAAAATTTTATAACATTATTGAAATGCAATTTCAGTCTACAGTGTAATGACCATTGTTGTCTATGACATGTTCCCAACGCACGGGTTATTGAACCCAATAATATTTTCTATCTCTCAGAAATGAGAACGAACGCTTACACTGTAAAAAATTTTTNCTCACATTTCTTTGTTTCTCGTCTCCATCGTTTTTTAAAATAATGAAACTCGGGGAATAAGCTTTTCGATAAATGAGGAACACCCAGAAAAATTGACGACCGTCTCCGACGACGACTTTTGACCGACTAGTCGGACTTTCTGAAATACCCTCGTATACCCCGAGGGCAGAAGCTTCGAGAACATTCCAGAATATACAAATGCAAAGCCCCGCCCATCATTCCCTTGAAAATTGTTATAAATACTTTTAGAAAGTGTTGCAAGACTTTCTTTCCAACCCAATATTTCAGTTTAAGGCATTCGTTTTCCATGTTCACCCCTAGTAATGCGGTGAAATTCCTTTGCTCACACCTTTGGCTGTAGCATGAGGATCACCAAGTAACATTTGTCAGTGCACCGTTTGGTGTTCTATTGGTGTATTCAATTACTGCTTATGGTCGACAAACTCTTGATTGCATGTGAATCTCTAAAAAAAAGTAGATGTGAGTAATAGCAACCGCATAAGTCACTTGAGAGTTTTAACGCAATAACCCTTTATGGACTACGTTCACTGTATGGGGAGTTCTTTCATTATCTTCATATCTACATTTAGGCACAAGTACATTTATGGAATCCCTTTTTCTAACTCTACCTAATGCTACATAGGGTTGACCAAGAGAAAATACGTCATTCATGAAGGCAGTTTATGGTTATTTATGTTCCTGTTTAGTTGAAGCGTGAGCACAGAAATGGCATTAGTCTAAGCGTTCTGCATTGATTATAACCACACTCAATCGGAAAGTCGAGGAAAAATCTTCCTTGCAGTTTCCCTGCTCCAAAAATATATGAAACTAATTCGCATCCACAAGCATACCGGCTCGCATCAACTCAAGACCTATCTAGCCTACGACTTAGAAAGGCATAGGGCAAAGACCTCGCGCCGCATGCTAAGACAGCGATTTTTCCCTTCAAATAGGCCGAAAAGGTCCTCTAAACAAATGAATCGTGATCGATGTAGGCCTGAGCGACCATGCAAGAGTTTGATGTGGGCCTGCTGACTCAGTCCCTTTAGGGCACAGTACCTCCAATGTCGAACTGATATCTGTAGTATGCCAACCAACAGCTGTTTGTTTTCCATCTCGTTCATTCCATGAGAATGGTATTGGCCTAAGCGTGCTTCCATGGATTAGGCCTAGGTCTGCGAAATCAGCCCCCCCTGAAAATTATCCCCAGGGCCTGTACCCTTCCCTCCCCCCCTTCCGAATTCGGAATTCCTCCAGAGTGACCAACGTAGCAGTTACACTTCCTTCAATGACAGAGGAAGGAATGTGTGCATAAGAATGACATTGGCCTAAACCTCCGGTTTGGGGGTGAGGGGGGGGGTTGGGCCTAGGCTTGCAAAATCAGTCCCCCCTGAAATGTTCCCCAGGGCATGTACCTTCAAAGTTGGATTTTTTCAGAACTCTGCATCCCAATAACTACGTGTGCACCAAGTTTCAGATTTCTAACTTCTCTAGAACATGGTTAGAATTAGTGTCAGTTAGTTGTTAGAATTAGCGTCAGTCAGTCACGATCGTCTATATATATTAGATGAGAACCCACCCAAAGGCTGTGCCCTGAATGGATGCACAAAAAAATTTGATTTTTTCCTGAAATCAATATCATGTCAGTTGTGTGTGTCAAGTTTCACGTCTCCGTTTCTGCTGGATTCGCCAAGGCAAAAATATACCTTTTGCAACTTGGTTTTAGATGGTTTGCAATTCATTTTCGGCATTCGGTGAGTGAAGAATGTCGTTGGAAATATGTGTAAAATGTGATAGCAGTTTCGGCAAATCAGAATCGGCTTTGAATGGCTTTGATCGGCGGAACTGGATCGCATTCAGAGACATCCGGTTTCGGTGACAAAATTTCATTTTGTGTTTCCTTCGAAAGCAAAACTGCAAATGTAATACGGCGAATAGAATCTCGAGATCGTCCGCAATGTTTGTTCCGTTCAAAATCCCAATAATGGAAGCCAGTAATCATGTCGAAGCAATTGGGAATCGGGAATGAAAGAAGCAATCACTGCAAGGAGCATTCTCAGCTCTAGAGTGGATCGTAGGTTTGAGACTTCTCCTGTTGATAAGCATGTGTTATTCATTCGAGGGGAATGGGAAGGGCTATTTGATTATTCAAGCAGGTAAAACCAATGGGACTGCAAGAAACGCCAAAAAATTCAACCGATAATCGAGTTTACAGTGAAAAAATGCTAGAAGCATGTCAATTGGAATCCGCAAGTAAGTTATTCGTATTTCATTTTTGGCTTTCCGTAGTTAAAGAATGTCTGCAGAAGTATCGGTGAAAAGCGACCCCATTTCCGGCAAAACGATATCTGACGAGCAGAAATGAAGTCGAAGCAACGGCGAGTGATTAGATTGAGCTTCACTAAGAATTTTCCTCGCTAGAGCGGATCGCAAATGCAAATTTGAGACATTTCGATGAGATTGCCATTGGAGTTCTTATGAGGGAAAAATGAATGGATTTTCATTTCCTAACTGGTTAGAATCCAAAGGGCTGGGGATAGGCAATACAGAAAACAACGAAAAAACTTCTCTCTAATTTTGAATGATGTCACTCCGACTTTAAACCGACTATTACCCATTCCTAATGTGAAAGCAACTCCAAACACACGGTGACAAGTCGAAATATGCTTGTGATTTCATCGGTGGGTCATTTTTGTTGCAGTATCATCTCGCAGTATCTCGTCAGGTTTTCCATGTATCAACATTTACGTCTTCACTTTTGCACCTGCATACGAAAATTTCCCCAGAATACATAGCCTATTTCCTTTTTTCG